CCCGCCCATGGATCGTGCCCCCTCCTGGCTGGGGGGACCCCCCCACACACCCACACTGACCTTTCGGCTTGACCTTTCAGTTCCTGGCGGAGCACAAGCTGCTGGGCCAGGTCAAGAACGTGGCCAAGACGGCCAGCAAGGAGCAGCTGATCGCCGCCTACGACCAGCTCTTCGACACCCAGGTGGGTCCCCTGACCTGGCCTGACCTGCCCGGTTCACACATTCACAGCCGTCTTCCTCTGGACAAGGTGGCCAGGGTCAGTGGGCAGAGCAGGTGCTTCTCACACTCTGTCTCGAGGCTCGCCTGAAGAGAGAGAGAGAGACCGTGGGGGCGTGTGTGCTTGCAGGGCCCCTTGCACACCCTTCCCAAGGCAAGGGGGGGTGGATGCTTTGATGAGGTTGGGGGGGCCTGTGGATGCCCTATGGGGCGTCCTCATCATCAGATGGGTCACAGGAGACGGGGGGGGGGAATCCCCAATCCCCACCAAAGGGGCTTCCTGGTTCAAAAGTCAGCTACAGAAAGGGGTTTGGAGGGGGGCTTCCGATTCCCCCTGTGGGGGGGGGGTCTGGACTGCCCCCCCCCCGTCTCGGGAGCGAAAGAATGGCCGGTCACCCACTCGGCGGAAGGGGTTTCCCGCAAGGCCGGGCCCTTCTCTCACTTGCACGGTTGTGGGAAAAGCAGCGCTACTGGGAAGAGCAGTGCAGGGTGGATGTGCGGAGGGGGGGGGTCCAAAGCCCAGCATCCTCAGCCTGGGTGCAGGGGGAGACCCTTCGCTTGGGGGGGAGGCGCTGGGTGGCCTTTGGCCCCCATCCCCACTTTCATCGGGGTAAGGATGTTTGGGGCCTTACTGAGAAGTGGTAAGAAGGCTAAAAGGATAGATCAAGCAGGTGATTTGTCTTCAGCATAGAAATACTTAGGAAATAATATGAATGAATAATATGAATGCCTGTACAGGCCAAGCATGCTTGTAGTTTCATTAGGAAATAATATGAATACATATTCACAAGCTTCCTGTACAGGCCAAGCATGCTTGTAGTTTCCTTCATTACAATGTTGAATTGTCACCCCTGTGGATGTCCTTCGTTTCTTCTCTCTCTTTCCTTCTTCTACCTTCCTTCCCTCCTTCCTTCCTTCCTTCCCCTTCTCTCTCTTTCCTTCTTCTTCCTTCCTTCCTTCCCTCCTTCCTTCCTTTTCTTTTTTCTTTTCTTTTCCTCTCTCCCTCCCTCCCAGAGCTTCAAGGGCACAGAGACCCCAGAGGATGTGGCGGGACAGGTGAAAAATGTCAAGCTTGAGGAGGAAGCCAAGCCCAAAGAGACAAAACCAGAGGAAACAGTTGAGGAGGTGAGCGGAGGGGCCTCGATCCTCCCTGAGCTGTGGACTGGCTCTCTTCCGGTTCTGTACAGTGAAGGGATGCCGAGGTTTCCTCTGGTGCCAGTTCTGTAACTTTGAGAGCATCTCCGAATGTACAATGCAGCCCATCCGTGCCCCTGTTTAAAGGAGCGTCTCTGACGTTGAGCACGCCCGATTCTGTGCTCAGATCGGTCTGAGCAAGATGATTTCATGGGAGGTGTTCCGCTCTCCCAGGGAGTAGGGGCTCCGGGACCCCGTGAAGGGGAGGCTGGAGAGGCTCCTTTCAGGCTCAGGTGCCGACCTGAGAAAACCCAGGATGACGGGCGATGCTTTCTGCCTCCCCCTCCAGGGCCCCCCCAAATACACCAAGTCCGTGATGAAAAAGGGCGACAAGGTCAATTTCCCCAAGAAGGGAGACACCGTCCACTGCTGGTACACAGGGAAGCTGCAGGATGGGACCGTCTTTGATACCAACATTCAGACCAGTGAGTGCTCAAAAGAAGTGGCTCCAGGGCGCCTTTTTCAAAGCGGGAGGAGGGGGGGCGGTTGGCCCTTCCAGAAGAGGGTCCGCCTGGGGGCCTGAAGGTGGACGAGGAGCATCTCTGCTGAAAGGGATGGCCTAAGACTGATGGGCTCTTGTTCCCCTCACAGGGATTTCATCCCGTCTGTACCCTCCCTCCAGGTTATCAAAGCCACCCTCTTTCCCGAGCAGCTGAGTTTTTGCCAAGTGGGTGGGCCTGAAGACCTGCCAGCGGCGTGGTCTCAGTGACGAGGAAAGAGGCGTTTCTGATCAGCTCCCTTTCACCGCTGGCATCCCCATGCCGTTCCAGAGAGTCCCCCCCCCCATCCAGCACTAACTCTGACGTGGGATGGATGGGGAATGCATTTCGCGGGTGCTCTGTGGCCTACCAGGCTGTGTCCCGTATATTTGGTTTCTTAAGCCTGGTATGCACGTGTGTGTTTGTGTTTATGCACCCACACAGATTTATGATCAGTCACAGGTGGAGGTTTAGCAACTAATCGGATATTTTGTTATATCCATTGCTGAGCTACAGCAAAGTTCTGATCATTTCCTGTTCAAGCAGTTTGGTGTTAAGACACCTTACCCTGTGCCCAAATCAAGTGCCCCCCCAGCATGAGTGCAGGGCACTGTTGAGTTTTATAGACCCCTCTTTTTAGTGCCATCCCCAAATCCTGTTAAAGAGGGTTAAATGTTTTCTTTACGTGATCTAAAAATAGGGAAACAAACGAAACAAACAAAACCCAGTGGCCCGGGGAGGGAGGGGGGGCTGGAATGGGGCTCCAAAGCTTCCACTTCCATTTTTCCGGGTCCCAGGCTAAGGGAAGGGGGTTCATCCTGGCTCCCAACATTTTGGCTGATGTGCTGCTCTCGACGTGCCTTTTCAGGTAGCAAGAAAAAGAAAGCCTCCAAGCCGCTGAGCTTCAAAGTCGGTGTTGGAAAAGTGATCCGGGGCGTAAGTAGGGGAGTGGCGGCGGTGGCGGCGCAGCTGGTGTGTGTCCGTCAGCCTCCCTGGGCCCTTCTGCCGCTGGGAAAGGCCTCTGCCGGGCTGCTCTGAGGCCACCTGCTTGAGTTCCTCCCGGGAGATCAGAGAAGGCGTTGATGCCGTCCAGCCCTTCGGCCTTTTGGCTTCTTGCCTGCGACAACAGGCATGAGGTCGGAGTTTGAAAGGCTGAGGCACAGCCGCATTCTTTGGGGGTGTGTGTGTGGTGTGTGCTTGCATGCACGCTTGCGCCTGTGCCTGCCTGCAAAGCAGGGGTTGGCTGCAAACTGTCCATTTCCTGAGCTGGATTGGAAACAAGGACCACCCCCCTTGCCTGCTGTCCTTCATTGAAATGTGGAGGTGGAACTCGAGTGACAAATGGGTTGTGTTCTGGACCTGGTTTAGGAAACAAGTGATTTAGCCTTAAAATACAGTGCATTTATCTGGTCCAAATGCTACAGGCCTGTCATAGGGAAGCGCGTAACCCCTTTCATTGCAGGAGCTCCACTGGCTGCCCGCCTGGTTCGGAGCAGAAC